ACACTATAATTGACCTCCGCTTGTGGAGATTTTAATTTAGGGCGATTAATTAAACTGAAATCTGTTCTATCACAATGCACTACAGTGCTATGGTTATGTCTATATGCATGTCCTCACAAATGTCTAGTGTAACGTTGGATAGGTTCATTGTCATACGGTCCCGACAAGCAGCAACGTACAGTAGTCTTCCAGCCGAAAATAATTACTTTTGATTCGGGTCAGTAATTATAATAGATAACAAGTGAAAGTTGGCCGCGGTATTCCCATGCTATGCATACGAAGTATTGTGCATTATATCAACATATACTCGAGAATAGTTGTCCAGCTAAACATGTATGTCAAAATTATCACATCTTCTGGTTTTAAATCAACAATTCTGACGGATTTTGTGCAAGGACAGCTTTGGGTTCCGTTTCGCTTTGGCCGATGCTTGCCGGAAGTACACTTATTTACCGGAAGTTGTCGTCTCCTCCGCAGGCCCTTCGATCTTCGACTACGCGCGCGGCTCGACACAAATGAAAAACAATAAAAAAAAAAATTAAAAAAAAAATAGGAGCCGAATTTAAGACCTCGGTGTCGTACCGACCCGAGGTAATTACTGTACTACACGAAAGGCGCTTCATGCATTGCGCATGCGTTTAGAACAGCCAGATTGGCATATCGCAGTACAACCACAGAATAAAGATCAGTAACAGAAGGGCCACTCAGCGGGGCAACATGTCCTTGTTTTTTTATGCAAAAATATGCAGTTTACTGGCCAGAAGGCGGAGCAGCCGGCCAGTACAGCCGGCCAGTACAGCCGGCCAGTACAGCCGGCCAGTACAGCCGGCCAGTACAGCCGGCCAGTACAGCCGGCCAGTACAGCCGGCCAGTACAGCCGGCCAGTACAGCCGGCCAGTACAGCCGGCCAGTACAGCCGGCCAGTACAGCCGGCCAGTGCAGCCGGCCAGTGCAGCCGGCCAGTGCAGCCAGCCAGTACAGCCAGCCAGTACAGCCAGCCAGTACAGCCAGCCAGTACAGCGTGTTTATTGGCCAGAAAATGTCATTGACTGGCTAGGAAAATGGCGGCCAACATGCGTAATGCGACATGCGCGAGGACAGTAACTTCAAAGCTTCCGACGTAAGTGGCCCTTCTATATTGATCTTTATTCTATGGTACAACTGCAAGCTATAATCAGTGACAAAACACTTTGGACAAAATAGCAAAAGAGCGTACATTTACAACACAATCGACCCCCCGCACCCCCCGTTCAATGTTGTGTGTGGAAATACCTGCGCAAAATGTTCCTTGCCAGCCACCCAACATTGTTTAGGGTGGAGGAGGGAGGGATAGTGGTTTTATGCTGAACAGTATTTGGAAAGGCGCAGATATGTCTATATTATATCACTGTCCAAAAACCTTTTGTCACTGATTGTAGCTTGTAATGTATAGTATAGTACAATCTTGGACATAACTCTTGAGACCGTTCCAATATTGCAAAGTTAATGAACCTTCACAAAACAAACTTTGTCTCCCCCTCTCCCATAGTTCAATGTTCTAAACAAGACCGAAACAACTTTTGGTAATCTACCATGACACAAGCTCAACATTGAGTTGGGGCAGCGAGGGGCTTGAGAAGCGCAACATGATTTAACATAGAATTTATCGCAAAGGGTATGTGCGAAATATATGTGGAGAAAAAGATAGTCTCAACCATTTATGTTCAAGATTGTAGATATATATTTGTCGTGGGTGACTCCCCAGTTTACAGTAAAAAGAACTGTATGGCAGAATGACTTGGCCACACAGAAAGTGACTTGTGAGTTGACTTGCTTCTGACTTGTGAGTTGACTTGCTTCTCGGAGAGAATAACTTGTGACTTGGCTATAAAGTTGGCTTGAACTCCAACCAAATAACTTGTGACTTGATTTGGACTTGCAAATTAAGACATGGCAACAACTAAATTTTTGTTTATTTACAGGGCAGCAAACGAGACGAGGGCTACGCATGCGCTCACAACGAAGACATCAAATTTATATCGCGAAGCACCAAATATTGTCCTTTAACACGCGACCTGTCAAACGAAACCGAAGGTGCTTCAAACTACGTCGACATTTGCTGCTTGCGTCAGCTTAAATGTGGAAGTGATAAAGTCAGCGGTCACCATGGAAACATAATGAGTCATAGACCTTGCCATTGTAATACAGAATTTCGCAAGTGCTTACAACGTTATAGTAAAGTTACAGTGTACAAAGACCTGGCTAATGCCGTACTCCGCGCCATAGACCAACTGAAGAATTGCCAAATCCGCGATGGGACAGCGTGCGACCCGAAGAACCCAAAAACGTGCAGAAAAGGCGATCTAATCAATCCGAAATACGCACATTGTCGCGTGAATTGCAAATCTGGTCCTTTGCTCCCGATTGGTCAGCGTATGTGTAGTATTCGCCAATGTAAACCGCCGAATTTTGTAGACGGGGTTCGAATCATCGATGTACCGAACCCCGCAACGAGTTCGATGTGCGAGCCTGTGCGTAATGTGCCATATCTGTGCGGGAAAGGCGACACTAGGTGCGTTTGTGATGGCAAGCCGCTGGGAAGTGCGTTTACTGATCGTTGTCGCTGTCAGTTTTGGCCATTTAAGTTGTAAGAAGGTTAGATTTACAATAAGACGGTGTAAATAAATTTGACTCATGTTCGAAGTCATTATGTTGTTTTGTGTTTGCAACCTCGTATCCAGGGTCTTTCCTCTTGGGGAGAAAAGACCCTGGTAGACGCCGGTCACGTGATCTGTTAAAATCTAGCAGATTTCTAATGAACTATGTTGGATTCCTTTACGACAATCATTGTAAATTAAATTATAAAAATCATCCAAATATCAAAATTTTATTGACCTCATCTTGGATTGCTAATTAAAGATCTGCTGGGTCTTTTCTCCCCAAGAGGAAAGAAAGACCCTTGAAACGAGGTAGTTGTGTTTGCAGAAAATATTTTGTTTATCACGGCTGCATGGCAAGGCTCTCGATCCAAAATCCTGTATCTTCATTGTCAATGTGCAAGCAAATATGTTTTGTACCAAATTACCTGGAGGACTGCATAACGATATATGGAAATTATTTTTGGGGGGAAAGCACCACATTTTTAAATTACGTCAATAAATTAGGTCAATCTAACACAACATTTTGCGCCTTCATACAACAAGCTTCAAAAAACTCTTTTCTGACTCAGGAAAAATCATTATTCATTACGAATTGTAAGTTGCTTCTTTTAATTTCATATTAAATTATTACCAGTGCATGATGTATGATGCAGTAAAATTTAAAAAAAAAACATCACAAAAACAAGAATAACTGTTCAGTAAAACAGAACTTTTAACTCTTTTAAAATATTTATAGAAGTATGTTTCTTACGGTAGTTGGAACACTCTAATTTATATATATGTAAAAATATACCGGAATAGAAAAATATTTTTAATGTATCCACAGTTTAAAATCAAATGGAGGTTTATTATGAAAACCTGCCAGTCTATAGTTCTAGAAAATATAAAATAATAATAATTCTGAATATTCAAACTATATACAGCTATTTCAATTAAGGTTGTCCACGAGCAAAGCGGAAAAGTCGAATACGAGCGCGAAAGGCTGCTGGGAACCGCTTTGAAAATTCATTAATTTGTTAGCGATTCCCAGCAGCCTTTCGCGCTCGTATTCGACTTTTCCGCTTTGCTCGTGGACAACCTTAATTCAAATAGCTGTATACAATATTTATTTTGAATTGCTTCAAAATAAATTCTATTTCAAGAAATAAAATAGGGAAAATAAAAATGAATTATAAATGAAATTTAATTTGTGTTTGCAAGAAATTTAACTGCAGCTTATTAAATCTATACTGTTACTGTTACTGTACAGTCGAAAATAAGACATAATATAGTACAATATACTGTATATATGTAATCATAGACAATCAAAGGAATCAAAGGGTTCCTTTGATTGTCTATGATGTAATCAATGCATAATAAAGTTGTTCATGTTGATAGTATTTTTAATCATAGATGTATTTTTTAAATGCCTTTAGTTTAATTTTAGTATTAGTTGATTAAATAAAATCTATACAATTAATTCAATTTAAAAAACCCAGTAACACTCCCCTTAAACATGCTGTATTAAATGTAAATTGCATAAATTTTATGTGACATTAGCATATGCTGCTCAAGCTGAGATCCTTTCTTGCCTGAGATACACAAAATTTCAAAACATTTTTATTTTATATTTTCAAGAACTTAACCATATCCACACAGTTTCGTTGTTTCCCCCCCAAAATATACTACTATTTGACAAACATTTTAAACCTTTTTTGCAAAATATCTAGGGCATGACACCCAAAATTTATTCGATGATACTAAATTCTACTTTTGTTTCGTTGATCAAATAAATGGCGAACAAAATATACCTGGACTAATCCAACACTAATCATTATTATACTTGCCGTACACGATACCCACATGACACGGGAATAATTTCCCTCGAGATAGTAACGTTGTCTTGCCTCCTTCGCCCGCAATGCACCCTGGTACGAACTGGCTTTGTCTAGCTTTGTGCGGATTCCCTCGATATTCTCCTGGATAAGAAATGCAATTTATGAGTTCACACTAGCTATGATTGTGGGCATGAAATGAATGCAAATAATTTTTTATTCATTTTCTAATAGAATTATCACTAATGTGTCTGGTGCGTAATTAAATGATATTTTTGTGATAAATCTGTCTGAACTATTCTCAACATTCCTAAAGTTTCCTTGGTTTTGTTTGTTTGTTTGTTTGTTTTTTGGGGGTTTTCTTTTTTTTTGGGGGGGAGGCAGGTAACAAGTATCCTCTATGCCACATAGCATAATAAAATATTAACTCACAAGGCTCTCCCCTTGACAACTAAAATGGTCAGGCATTAGACAGAGTAAGACAATAAAGTTGATTGCAGCTTAATGCATTAAAAGAGGAATCATTTCTATGCTATTTAACACATGCCAAACACTAATGAATATATGTACTTTTTTACTTGGTTATGACTTTATTCAAAATTTTAAATTTTTGATATATTTCTATAATGCTTTATCTGTAAAAGTATGCTAAAATGAAAAAGATTTTAGATGGTATGCAGTAGAGAAAATGATGTCTGTAGTTCAGTAAGTTTGACCTACTGATTGCTGTACAAATATATGGCATAAATTTTTCATAATTGTATTTAAATTATCAATATTTAATTATTATTTTGTGTTTCTCAACTGCCAGATATATTTAAAAAGGTTGCCAACTATGTAAACTACAAAATATAAAAGCTAAAACAAGGTAATTTTGAGAGGAACACCAAAAGGATTTTAGGTTTTGAACACTTTTCATTGCAAATATGTGACATTGAAAAATGGGTTAACAAGACACATCAATTGGTAGATAGTTTGGTTGACCCATTTAGACTCTCCCATTAACAAGTAAAATCATCTGGGGTTAGACAGAATAAAATAATAAAGTCTGCGGCATTTGGGAACATTGCATTTACTACACACAGCTTAATTAAAGCTGCAATAACAGGTTAATAGACACTTCAATCCCTGTACATTAGCCAATGCTGAGTAATTTCCGGAAGGGTGTATTTGAATCATCCCATACCAAAAATTCAAAGCAAGAAAATAGACAATGTACTTACATAAACATTAAAAACAGTTTCAAATTGATGATCCCTCCCCAATTCTTCATCTTCCCTCGTTATTCCTAAGTCAAGGTACACCATTTTGGATGTTATGCTACTGAAGCTATTATCAATACAAAAACTGTATATTCCTGGTAGTTTTATTTCAAGTTCGTGCGATTCATCCGATGACTTTTCAGCATGGATCAAGCGTTTGTTGTTTGGATCGAACACTTCGAAGTTTATATCAAGATCACCGCCTTCAATCACCTAATGTACAAAACCGTTATTATTATTGAGATTGTTTATGCATACATGTTAGCACAAACAACTTTCTTTAATTAATTAACATTAAAAAGTTTAAAAATCCAATGAATTCCGCCAGGTTTGCTATTGAATTGGGTTAGACGAGCAAATAAAATGCAGACCTGCCAAGTTCAGAAGATAAGAATGCATGACCCGGGGCCGTTGCGAGGACTTTGCCTTTGGGGGACACCCACAAGGCGCCATCATGGTTGGCGCCGAGCAAAAAATTTTGAAAATTTGAATTCTCTAGACCGTCGGAAATAGCATTTTAAAGTCTTTCCTACCCAAAGTTTCAATGTTTTACTACCGCATGCCTAACAATAAAGATAACTAAAATAACTACTGATCAATATGACAGTGTTACTTACAGTTTAATGTGACCAGGAAAATTGAGAAAAGTTTGGAAATTTGGAGTCTCCAGATCGTCAGAAAGCATATATTTGGCCAATGTATCGCAGGCCACGATGCGTCTGACGTTAATTCTAACGTTGTTAACTCTAATTCTACGTTTGCACAAAGCGTTGTCAAGGCGTAAAAAAAAATACCTGTGGTTCCGGTTCCCGACCCTATTTTTTTCTGCCGACCCTATTATTTTTTCAAAGCAATTGACTGTGCAACCCTATTTTTTCCGGGTGGTTGCGGGCTGCTCAAACAGCGTGCCAAAATGGTGTCTGTTGTCATACTAATTATTGAACCAAACTGCCTAAATTCGTCCATAGGAAATACGCATCTCTAGTTAATATTGATGTCGGGACTCTACTGCAAATCGCCCAGCAAAAAAAAAACGCCAAAATCATGAAAATATTTAAAAAAAAATTATTTTCGACCTACCGACCCCAATTTTTTCACGATATGAAACCAGAACCACAGGTATTTTTTTTACACCCAATGAATTATTGTACGAAAAGTGGGATAGCGTCATATAATGGCAAAAATGCGTTACTTTAAGATCATTTTAGTTATGCGTGCGGAACAAAAGCAGAATGCGTAACTTTCACGCAAAATGCGGGAACCTTGGCAGGTCTGAAAATGCGAGAAGCAACGGGAATGCCAATATCAAAATGGCTTGTGGAACGTCACAACAGCATAAAGTATGGATTGTTCAGACTATCATTTTCATATAATACTGTATGCATGTTGATCAGGCTTAATTTACATGCTTAGAGGTTGAGGGTTTTTGATTTTGACTTTGACAGAATTGAATTACCTGTAAGCAATGGGTTGTAAGCAATGGGATTGTAAGCATTTTTTGATGGGCTTATCCATGGGGGAAGGGGGGGGCTTATACACAGGCAACGTTTGGTGTGGTTTGGTGTTAGTGATAATATTTATTGAACTACATAACATGAATGAAATATAAACATACAGTATATAACACTTAATAAAACAAGTTGGTTAACATTATACTTAATATAATTATCATCATGGGTTATACAGAGGGGCTTGTATTCTTTTTTTTTTGGGGGGGGGGGCAGCTTATAATCAAAATGGCCTGAGCATTAGTGAACATGGTGGGCTTATACACAGGGGGAGGGCTTAATTATATTCGGGTGGGCTTGTATTCACAGGTTTACAGTACGTGAACTGGTTTTGGCAACACTGACTTTTCTAGGAAAATAAGGGTTAAATGGTCTGTGAATATTGTGATAGGGTAGGGGGAATAATTGCAAAAAATAAGTCTTCAAAATGAGATGGCAGACAAATTAAAAAGTCGGATTAATATATTGAATATATAGTTGAACTGTTTTTGCAGATAGATATTTCAAGCAGTGGATTTATATAGGCCTCTTGCAGGAATCGAGCCTGCAGTTCTGTGATTAAAATCATTGCTGTAAATATATTGATTAAAGTAAACAATCAATGATAAATTTATATTGGACCGATTTGACAGTATATAAATACCACAAAAAGTTAACAAATATAACAGTTCTTACAGAATTCTAAGAAATCTGTTCAACTAAATATCTCTAGTTACGGTAATACCTGATATTCCAAATCCAAGGACACGTTGACTTTCAGATTTTCAAAAAAACATTCCCGTTTTCTAGCTCCGAGAAGAAACGTAAATCCGCTTTCCATACCATTAATTGAAGCCGTACAGCATAACAGAAGCAATATCGATAACATATTAGCAATATAAATGTATAAAAACCGTTATATAAACGTTATAAAACCTTCGATATTGGTCCGAAACAAATATAACATTCCAATAGTAATAGAACATTTACGTTTTTTATTCCTAGAGCCTGTGATGTTTTGGTCAGCAAAAGTACGGTACTTCATCTTCCACGGATATTTTGCATTGACATGCTTGCGGAAACTCTGTCTAATGCCAGACGATTTTACTCGTCAATGGGACGGCGCTCAGTGGGTTAACAGAACGAGTATCGTCAATACAACATCTGATATTAGAGTAAACACTATTTGGTCCATACACCGGTCCCCACTTTCCTTCAAGACCTTGAGAGCCTGTTCGCAGGCCAATCGCAGGCTATTCAAGACCAATTTTATAATTCTTTCAAAACCCGAGGGGAAATATACAAAATCTCATTTGTAGCTTTCAGATTATCATAAAACGCGTCTGAAACGCATGAAATACCCTAAAGGCCCATTTACACGCAAGAAAATTTCCACAGACAGAAAATTTTCCGAAAATATCATTGTTAAAAGTTGAAAATTTTCAACTTCAAAATTTTTTCCCGACGGAAAATTTGTGTCGGCCAATCACATTTTACAAAATTTTCATTCGGCGGAAAATTTTCCTGAATGGAAAATTCATTAGGGAAATTAATAGTAATACGAGCAACAAAATTGCTGCAACTTGCAACAAAATCTGATTTCTACGCATGTTAATTGAGAATGTTTATACATACATTACAAAGTCACGAGGCAACATGTGTCGCATTTCTACTTAGCATGCGTTGAAATCGGATTTTGTTGCAAGTTGCAGCAATTTTGTTGCTCGTATTACTCAAGCTTAATACAAAACAATACCAATATAGGCATATTGTTTCTTATTAATTACAATCATTTTCAAAAGTTGTTGGGACTTGCGGTTTTACACCATCAGTGGATATATGCATATCATGACAAACATTCATATTTCCCTCCTCCCGCCCCATTCAATGCAATGTGGTTTACTCGATCACACACCAAAGTAAGATGCGAACTGAGACCCAACATTGACAGGGGGGGAGACAGAAGTTTGTCAAAATAATAGGTATGTTGTAACCTGCTCTGGACACTAACGTTTGAGCTACCTTCCAAATTTTAGCTCGGCTATCTATATGGCAACATGGCCGTAGTATGAGTCATCCACGTATATAGATCAGTCGCTACGTATTAACTTCCATTTGATTGTTCAATTCAACATCTCTTGATGAGGAATGTAGGAGCTCACGACGAACCTCGGGTGTGATCTGAAATTTAATGTACACTTGAGTTTTGCTTGCAACATATACTGGACTAAGGTAAACTATCTCTATTTATACTGGATAGCTCGATCAGTTCTAAACTGTTCTCTTTAGAGGTCCAGTAAGAATCATCTTTTATTATCCAGTGTTACTACAGGAGACAAACCAAACTAAAATAACTTTATGTTTGCGATGTTACTCTGAGTGCATATCCACACCGGGCGAGCTTGAAAAATATGCCCGGCCACGGTGGGATTCGAACCTACGACCTTTGGAATACTAGCCCAATGCTCTTCCAACTGAGCTACGCGGTCAGGACGGTTCGAGTAGGTGATATTTCGGAACAGTATCTAGTTCCTTCAATACCAATGTGTTCTAGTAATATGAATTTTTTCTGTGTTGGTGTTGTGCACTCAGGTGAATAATATGTTTGCGATGTTACTCTGAGTGCATATCCACACCGGGCGAGCTTGAAAAATATGCCCGGCCACGGTGGGATTCGAACCTACGAATACTCGAACCGAACCGTCCTGACCGCGTAGCTCAGTTGGAAGAGCATTGGGCTAGTATTCCAAAGGTCGTAGGTTCGAATCCCACCGTGGCCGGGCATATTTTTCAAGCTCGCCCGGTGTGAATATGCACCATAGAAATAATAGACATAGAATGCGTGCTCCTATCTCTTCTCAGTAAAAATTTTGTCTCCACAAAATGGCGGATTTATAAGGGCATTTTGGCTAGTCCCAGACTCCTGTGGCGTGGAATTTCGCGCGTTGCCGGGAGTGCGAATTGTTTTTTTCAACAAAGTTTGCAAAAACAATTCTATCCAGACTTGAAGTGGAAAAAAAGTGTTTTTAATGGAGAAAAACCCATTCCCGTGGGTTTTTTTACGAAGAGCAATAGTTCTGAACAGAATATATAGAGAAATCGTCGTTTCAAAATACATTTTCAACGTTGCTGTGCAAGCCAAAACAAAACACGAAAAATCAAGACAAACTGAAACTCAATAGGTATGTTTTAAAAAATATATTTCAACTGTTTTATAATATAAATAGAGTTCGATAATCTTTTTAAACTTACTCAACTACTTTTTATACTTTTTTATACGTTGCTTGAGCTTGAGGCAACGCTTTTGAAACCATATGTTTTCGACGATCATTTAGGCGATTTACAACAACTAAATATTTTTGTTTCAAAAACATGAAAACACTTCGTTTAGATTGAAGAAAAACAAAACCCGACGAAGAATGAACTATCATCTCGTAATTTTATAAAGTATTAGCAAAACAGTTACGTTCAGAGCTTGCAAAAATGTTTTATGAGTAAGTGATATTTTATACGCGAAACTACACGAAAAAACTACTTGTTTTTTATACAAGGCTGCACGATTTTCACCGTTTTTGTAACGGCACATTTGCTTTGAGCCTTTAAAGAACTTAATATTTCAAATTCTATCCCCAAACTACAAATACCAAACGTTTTGACGATGAAAACTTTATAGGTTTAGTTTTGTTTATACTTTGTAGTTTGCACTCCTACTCAAATTCAACATGGCGGATTTATAAGGGCATTTTTGTTTTCAGTTTGGACACCGGTCACGTGACCAAGCACGCATTCTAGGTCTAATATTTCTATGATATGCACTCAGAGTAACATCGCAAACATATTATTCACCTGAGTACACAACACCAACACAGAAAAATTCATATTAGTAAGAACACATTGGTATAGAAGGAACTAGATACTGTTCCGAAATATCACTTACTCGAACCGTCCTGACCGCGTAGCTCAGTTGGAAGAGCATTGGGCTAGTATTCCAAAGGTCGTACTGTAGGTTCGAATCCCACCGTGGCCGGGCATATTTTTCAAGCTCGCCCGGTGTGGATATGCACTCAGAGTAACATCGCAAACATATTATTCACCTGAGTACACAACACCAACACAGATAAAATAACTTTACTGTATTTATACTGGATAGCTCTATCAGTTCTAAACTGTTCTCCCTTGAGGTCCAGCAAGGATCATCCCTTTTCGGCGTAGTGTAATTTAGCTTCATTTATACAGGAAGCTCTTTCAGTTCTAAATTGTTCTTCCTAAAAGTCTAGTAATGGTACTTACTACAGGAGGAAACCTGAACTAAACTATAACTCTGTCAGTTCCAAACTGTTCTTGCTTGAAGCCCAGTAATGGTATAATCTCTTACTGATTCATTCATTACCACAGGGCACAGGTCACGAGAGCACCTGTTTGCTGGAGTGAATTTGGAAACAGTTCTCACATGCAGATGTAAACTGCTCTTTGCTCTAGATTGCCCGCAGACTCGTATCGGCCGTGTGTCACAGATATTAGATAAAACACACAATTAGACAATGGACAACAGTATTGTATATTATGGAATAAAATAGTATAAGAATTGTCCAAGTGAGACTATTTAGCAGGCGGTATCATCTTTCCCTGACTGGTAACCAGTAGACAATAAACGCTATCCAGCTATAACATGCACTAAACACTGTGTTGTCAAATCCTTGATGATTAACCAAGCAGCCTAAAGCAGGAACGCTAAGCTGTCGAGCGTATTTTAAAATTGTACAACGAGTACCTGATCATGTGTATGTGCTCGACAAACTTCAAGTAAAGCCTCTTTCTGTTCGCTAGATATATCCTCTTTGTACCTGGAAAGAAAAATTAAAATATTGAACGCCTGCTCAGCAATCAGCATTCTCTCAGCAATCTAATGATCTATGAAAAGCTTCTTTGGTGAATTTGTACGAATGTCTTCGTTCACTCTGGTACAATGTTTTGGTATTTCAATGTTTCCAATTTTGAACGAAATAAACACTTCTAAACTGTTAAAGAAATAGATGGAGAATGGCTCACCGTTGTACAAATGTTAAGAAACATTGATGCCATAGAACGGGCAATGTTCTCTTGTCACTCAAAAACCTAGAAAAAATAAGTTAAATAAGTCACAAAAAAGTAATATATTGCACTATTGCATACCACAAGTCGGAATTATTTTTAAGTACCCCACTGGGATACCAGGATTCAAAGTTCTAGTATCCCATCTGAGAATCCAGTATTCTACTTCTGAATACTGGTTACCATAAGTCTTGGCATCCCTGAACTCAAGTAAGTATTCAGAACAGATCTCTCATTGTTATAAACAACAGGAGACTCAACAGTCAACAACTAGACCACAAAGTTGGGAATCAGGGTGGTTATTATAAGAAGGCTCATAGTATTCAAAGCTATTGAGAGGCCACCAGAGACATTTAGCATGCTTCTAATGTTTGGAATGTTGTAATGTCTGGTCGCGATACAAGTCATTCACAACAATCTGGTATCCAAACCAAATTTTAGTATCTTGTATCTTAATTTAAGGATATCGGGCTACTGCAAATCTCAGACTCTGAATTATCGTAGCTACTGCACAGTAAAAGTCAAAATACAAGATCTTTTTTCCACCTTCGATTCTGTAGTTCGTCTTGTTTGGTGTATTTTGCTGTGTTTAAAAAAACGTTTACAGCACAATGCTTTATTGTAATTATTATATACTTAGCATGAAATATACCTTAAAAAATGAAAGACCACTGCATCGATAACACGATATGGTAACGCATATTTCTTGTCCAAAAGTAACCGCAGCAAAATGCTGTTGGCACCTAAACAAGACAAATACATGAACTTTGTTATAAATGTAGTCGAAGACCTACGCTAGTACGGATTATTTCCATCTACACACGCAAAAACGCACAAGTTGTAACAAACCTGCAGCAGACTTGTAGCAATGCTATTCCAACAACTTGTCAACAGGTTGTGTTTGCGCTGTTTGTTCCCAGCTTGTTGACTAGTTGTCAACAACTTGTTGACAACTTGCTACAAAGTTGTTTAGCTCAACAGACTTGTTACAAGTTGTTCCAACAACTTGTTATCGTCCTGCAATTCAACAATTTGTCAACAAGTTGTGAGTGACAACCTTGTAACAACTTGATAAAATAACAGCATTGTTACAACTTGTTGACAAGTTTGCTACAAGCCTGTTGCGAACACATCTTGTGGACAAGTTGTGATATTTTTATGTGTGTACAAGACCCTTCAACTACATGTATATAGTCTATAAACGTAACAGCATTACTGTATCTACTTGCAGTGAGATTTGGCATAAAATATTCTATTTTATGTCTATTTCAGAATTATTCGAAAATTAGCAGCGAATAGCAATTGTTGCTTGAAAAGTAATCAACTACTTCGCTACTAAAAAAGTGTAGTGTCTTAAAAAAGTATATATACTAAAGTCAAAAACTGCTCGCTACCTGAAAATTTAATTCGCTACAGTGGCGAACTATATACAACTACTTCGCTACTATCCACCCTTGATCATATATAATGTTTATAGAAGTAGTGCCAGTGAAATGTTTCTTACCAGAATAATCCATTTCAGCGAGTTTCAACATGGCCGCGCTGGCATGGAGGACTGGTATGCTAGTCTTAGTAACCACACTACCAACGATGATCGCTTCACGAAGAGTGCACGTGCCAGACTAATGAAAAATAAATAAATAAATTAATGAAACTAGAAATTTCTAATAGAACGTGGAGTGTGGTATATGTGGTACATTTTTGAGGAGGCTTAGTTTTGACTAGTACTACAACAACGATTGCAAGATTTTCAATGCCAAAAGTATAGCTAACCGCGGTCTGCTGAGCTTGACAAGCCAATAAATTCCTAAAACAAATTCGTTATCCGACTACACACGCAAAAATCTCACATCTAGCTTGTAACAAGTTTGTCAACAAGTTGTCTTCGCACTGCTTGTCAGAAGTTGTCAACAAGTTTGGAACAAGCTGTTAACAATTTGTAACAACCTTGTTGATATTATCAGACTTGTTACAAGGTTGTTCCAACAAGTCCGATACAGTCATGATATAACAATATTGTTAAAACCTTGTGTCGTCAACCTTGTAACATTCTTGTTTATCATGACTGTATCAGACTTGTTAGAACAACCTTTTGACAAATCTGAATGTCTGATAATGCCATCAAGCTTGTTACAAGTTGTAATAATATACATAAAGATATTACTCGACTGTGATTGGTTGATTTCAGTGCAGTTATAATTCCAAACAGCAGTGCAATTTTCTGTAATCACAGTGCAATTTTTTGTAATCACAGTGCAATTTTCTGTAATCACAGTGCAAAAATCTGTAACAAACTGATCTGATTGGTGGAAAAACATTGTGATGATTAAATCAACCAATCAGTTTAAAGCATTTTAGTTTAAAGAAGTAACTGTCACAGATTGCTTCAAAACAAAACAAACATGGCGCCGCGCTACACAAAGTAAAAGTTGCCTTCGCGTGGAAAATATGGCTTTTATCTTTATTTTTAAATGGAAAAGCACTTACCTTAAACAAGACTAACAAAAATTACATAGTTGAGTGGAATTTTCAAGCTGTTAGCGTTGCATAATGTGATATAACAAAGCCAGGAAAAGTTTTCCGGTGGAATGTTCGCTATAAACGCGTAAGTTAAAACTACAATTGTCTCGAACATTTTTATGTAAATTATTAATAAGTAATAGCATGGTTTCTCGTGAAATTTGGATAAACATGCACTCGTGAGTTTTTCAAAGACATCAAATAGCACTCGTCCTTCGGACTCGTGCTATTTTGAGGTCTTTGAAAAACTCACTCGTGCATGTTATATCCAAATTGCACTCGAAACCATGCTATTAGCTATACTTAACAGCTTGATCCAAACTTTTTACAACAACTGGGAATAAGTAGTGCGAAAACAACTTGTCGACAGCTTGCGAACAGATTTGTAACAACTTGTGCGTTTTTACGTGTGTAGACAAATGTGGTACATTTTTGTGGAGGTTTAGTTACGTAAAAACGCACACGTTGTTACAAGTCTGCAAACAAGTTGTTACAAGTCTATTCACAAGCTGTCAACAAGTTGTTCTCGCACTGCTTGTTCCCAGTTGTTGTAACAAGTTTGGAACAAGCTGTTAACAACTTGTAACAAGCTTGATGGCATTATCAGACATTCAGATTTGTCAAAAGGTTGTTCTAACAAGTCTGACACAGTCATGATACATAACACGAATGTTACAAGCCTGTTGGTTACAAAGTTGATTAAAAAATATGAGGTTGAAAATTTTGAACTTCAAAACTTTTTTCCGACGGAAAATTTGTGTCGGCCAATCACATTTTACAAAACTTTCTTTCTGCGCAATGAAAATGGGCCTATATAACTGTCTTTCCCGGATTGAAATATGCTTATGCAAATGCCCACTCACTTCACACAATGGTAATAAAATTCCTTTGAAAAATGCGGCTGGTTTGAAGAAAGCTTTCTTTAGAGCCTATTAATGAAATAAGCAGATAAGACGAAAATATTTATATTCAGGTTCAACTTTACAGATTCAGTGAGTACAGATGTTTACAATACCTGATATAAATGATAATTGAGTCTTTTGTATTCAGCTATGTCATCACGAACACGGGGTAATAATACCAAATTGAAGAATCTACAAAAGGCAAAGCCGTTTGACAGCTCAGCTGAAACTAGAGAGACACATTTAAGGCTGAATTGCAAAGGCTGGCTTGTCTAAATTCCCAGCAACTGAACGCCCAATATAGACAGCGACGTACTGTAACTTAGCAGTTATCCGCTCACCCGGGCCAAGTAAAAGTCATTACAGGCAGGTAGAAGTTGCTTCTTCCTCGGGCAAGTTGTTTCAATGTTTTGCCAGAAATTATTATTGCTACACAAAATTGTTTACTTTTGTTTTTGATTAGTAATCTTATCTTTATTAGTAAATCAGCTGAGATCAATTAAATGACTTTCTCATGGCATCAGGCCGATTTTTGCCTCATCGGTAAACAATCGGAATCGGTAGAATTATCTATATTTCCGTGACTGTCTAAAACCGATTGTTGAGAAAATAAACACTTTAAAAATTATAAAATGCATTGCACGTTGGTACATTTCACGGTTTTAACGATCTTTGGTTGCAGTAACGTGTTACGTTGGAAATTATCGTTAAAATGTCGACATGAATGATGTTACATTTACTCGGTCTGATATTATGACGTCATTATAAAATCGGCATCGGTATCAGTAACAGTTTCCGATTCTGCACAATCGGTCAATCACTACAACCAAATTTCATGTCTAACTTTCCAAGAGAGTAGTAATGACATGTTACCTCTGTGCCATTTTGGCGTTCAAATTTGATACGAATATCCTCGTTGCTTGATACATAGCCGCGGCAGTCCAACTTTCTGGATTGGTGACATAGACTACCTAGAAATCATTTCATGAATATTTATATAGTGAAGATGTACTGTATTGGCCTCAGACCATCAAGTACAACTTTTCTCTTCGTTCAAATAACTTTACATGCATTAAATTTCAAGATTGAAGTTATAATGGCTTGACCTCGACTTGACGAGTATGACTTGACCTCGTAGCTCGCACATTGGACTAGTGTCCCAGGCAAAGGTTGCGGGTTCAATTCCCACCGTGGTCAGGCAAACGTTTCAGCTTGCCCGGTGTGGATGCACACTCAGAGTAACACCGCAAACATCAGAGTATTACCTCTTCCCAATTCTGCAATGATGGAATGATCTTGAATGCTTTTGGTAACTTGCCTGATCGATATTTGCTCAGAATGTCACCAACACTAAAAGGCAAAAACGACAACTTGTCAAACATCTTTTCATTTTGGCATCAACATTGTACATTTATAACTATTAGCCTTGTATATCAAATACAAATATCACTTCACATTACTATGGTCGTATGGAGATGTTACAACGAACCATCAGCTACAATCAGTGACAAAAGATTTTTGGACAGTGGTATAATATATACATATCTCCGCATTTCCAAATTTCAGCATAAAGCCACTATCCCTCCCTCCCCCACCCTAAACAATGTTGGGTTGCTGGCAAGGAACATTTTGCGCAGGTATTTCCACACACAACATTGAACGGGGGGTGTGGGGGGTCGATTATGTTGTAAATGCGTAATACGCTCTTTTGCTATTTTGTCCAAAGTGTTTTGTCACTGATTGTACTGTACGTTTACGTAATACAAAGAACTTAAAATACGTTTGCCTGCAACGAAATTTAATTGATTATAATGTGTGGGTTTCTTTCAATTACACACGTAAAAATGTGTGTGTGTGTGCAACAGGCTTGTAGCAAGCTTGTCATCAAGTTGTAATGCTGTTATTTTATCAAGTTGCTACAAGGTTGTCACTCAAAACTTGTTGACAAATTGTTGAATCGCAGATTCGCAGGACGATAACAAGTTACCTGAACAACTTGCAACGAGTCTATTGAGCTTGGCAACCGTTTGTTATACAGTAAGTTGTGCGTTTTTACGTGTGTATTTTAAAAATAGGCCAGTTCTACACATAACATTATTTCGTAAATCATTATGCACTACAGTATTTAAAACACAAGCAAAAGTGCTTCGTCAGATATAAAACACGAGTGTCTTACATATAATAAAACACAGACTGCGAGTGTTTTAAATGGCTTAAAAATTACCCATCTTATGAATTCATTGGCGTAATTTTAAAAATCAATGTTGTCTAAGCCGAGAAAATGAAAGCCAAAGTTTACGTAAATGAACATGATTTTTTATCACATATAAAACCACCGACATGGTAGCGATTTCATTCATAGACGGATTTTGTGGGGTGGTGCAGGGGGGTGCTACCCCCCCAATATTAGCTATAACCCTCCCAAACAAAATGTCCACCCCTCCAAAAATATTTTCAACCCCCCCCCCAATATTCGGCATAATACAAAATAATTAAATAGTCCACTCCAACGTGCAGAGTGTTGATGATACAAAATAAATGTAGGAGTACACTCAAATAGTAAAAGACAGTGCAATACTCTGAAACTAATCGCTCGTCGCTTGCATTCACTGGTTTATTGGACCAATTGTAAAGTTTTGAAACTCTATTATCTCCCCTGAAGAATAGAGTTTGCAGTGCCTTGTCATGCAAATAGCTTAGCAAATAGCTTGCTCGCAAGGGACGTTTGGAATTTTTACGAACATTATTTTTAGTTTTTAATTCTTTAGGAAATAGACTTGCCTAGATTTAATCTTTACGCCCCAAATATTATTAACATCGGAGTTGCATCATAAATTATACTCAGATTCAAACAACACAATGTCAATGACGTTATAAAAGTAAAAGCATATTGTGTATTGGCCTATTGGGTTTACACTTTTACAGGTTCATTTAGCTTTAACTCTCTCAAGTCTCAACAGACAATCGGACATGCCAAATCCATTGATATGACAACTTCAAAAAACTTTTTTTCGAAGCTACAAATCATGATTTTTTTCAAATTTTTCGTGTGATACTTTGTTTTCTGCTCTCTAGACTCCCCCTCGCGGCTCTAGTGCTCCACCCCTAGAATATAGACCTTACTGGGGTTTGGTGACACTTTGTGTTGCTTCAGTCACCTGCTCACAGCTCACCCCCCTAAAATTTCTGGCACAACCCCAGTAAAAAATATGAAAATCCGTCTATGATTTCATTTGTCTTTTCCTCATGAATTATCAATGAGTTTTTTAAATATGATTAATTTAATTAATACCCTTTAAAAACTTTGACAAGTCGTTCATCCATAGGCGGTGTTTGACTTTGTTCTGACATTTGACTTTCAATCTCGCTTTTCTTGTCTTTTATTTTCTCCAAGATAATATCAGCAAGCGTTCGTCTCTGTGGTGGTTCTTTGGACATGAACATCTCCAAAGCTTTCTCGTCCTCTTCATCAACAACCTGAGGATAAGATAATATTAATATTAATAACAGGGCCGTAGCCACAAATTTATAAGTGGTACAGTTAGATTCGAGTCCCAAAATTGATTACCCTAATGATGATGATACTCGCCCAAAGAAAATGTCTTAATCATAACCATTTTGGCCTCCAAGATAAAACTTTACCTACTGTATCATATTGGCGCAAAGTCTAACACTTTTTGTTGCTCCGGAAAGTGGTCTGGTTGAAATCGGACCAACCGAACCAGTGGCTACGGCCCTGAATAATAATTATCACTTATTTACTGAGACCGAGGAAAACAGTGTGTTTTGTGGACCCGAGACCGTTGATGTTTCCCGAGGCGAAGCCGAGGGAAACATCGACGGTCGAGGGTCAACAAAACACACTGCTTTCCCGAGGTCTCAGTAAATAAGTGTTTTATTATATATCAATAGTCAAAGAAACAACAAATTAAAGAACAAATGAACATAAATACATGAAATATTTTATTGTTAAAACGTTATATTAAACACTGGCTACACTGCAGTTACTTAAAGCGAAAGTTTTAATTACTGCATTACGTTCTAGGCATGTCCAAAGGTTGCATCTTTATGTGATGGCGCACATGATTTTTTTTGTTATTCGCCGGTCGATAACGTATTATCTCCCTCTCGCGCTGTTGCGAGGGACACGGCCTAATTTCATCACTCTCACGTGATATGCTCTCAACCAATAAAACACTAGAAAAATGCGACTTTTACTATTGATATATAATAACATCTAATACTTGTATAGCAATGTGGAAATATGGAATACCAGAGTTTTCTTCAATCCTCCTCTGTTATTTACATTCCTTATAGAAGTGGGAAGACTGCTACTGTTCCATACTTTAGTGAGGCATTACAAAATGCCCTATTCCCTAACGTCGTTTTGGATTTCATTGCATTGTCTTCATTTTAGCTAAACTTAACACCCCACTTACCACATCTTCATAATACTGATCTTCTTCCTCAGAAAATTGATCGTCATCACTGTCGCTATCTGTATCACTACCAGCAGTGCCAGGTCTCGAAAGACCACCAAGAGATGTTCTCGCTTCAGTTAATGATTTTTTTCCTTTCTTTACCATCGTAGCTCCGTATTCTGCCTCCAGTTCATCTTGTTGTTCTAGTGCTTGGTCGAGAATCTTTCTGCTTAGCTTATCATCAACGTACTGTGAAATAAATTGTTAACAATTCAAGCCACTAGATATCATATCCGGCCAGATAGTCAGTGTTCATACAAAACTTGAAAGTCCTTGAATGTCCTTGAATTTGAAAACAAAAATTCAAGGCCTTGAATGTCTTGTTAAGATGTACAGTACTTAAGAGTTCTTGAATTCTTCTTGCTTTAGTTTATTCTGAAATTGTTTGATATTCACAGTGGCGGCGCCAGGCTTCCAAATTTGGGGGAGCATTTGAGGGGCAAACTCAAATTTGGGGGGGGGGCAAGATAGAATTTTTAAAAAGGTCGCCCCCCAGGAAATTCGCCCCCCCCCCC